CTGATTGATTGGCTTGTAGAGGTAAATTTTTTGTCTGTTAATCACATTCTGAATGTCATATAGAAGTTTTGACAATTTTTGCTGTAAGAACAACAATCATCAGAGACTTTATTGGCAGTACCATCCTTCATAGTTACAAGCCTTCATGAAATTAAAGCTGATTTTTTTTTTCCAAACTACAGGTGGCTGAAGAATATAGGCTTGTACCAGATACTCTATATTTGACAGTGAACTACATAGATAGGTATCTTTCTGGGAATGTTATGAATAGGCAACGACTACAGTTGCTTGGAGTTGCCTGTATGATGATTGCTGCGTAAGAATACATCCTTCCCCCACTATTTTCTGTCTTCATGAGATGTCCAATAGATTTTTCCCATGCGTACTGTATTAACAACTAAGTTTACATATTTCCAGAAAATATGAGGAGATTTGTGCACCCCAAGTGGAGGAGTTTTGCTACATAACTGACAACACATATTTCAAGGAGGAGGTTTGTTCTCATTCTAGTCTCGTCCTCTAATTATTATTCTGAGATGCTGCCATATCAATTACTGCTACTTTACCAACCTGAATGAGCATTAAGCATCTTATTTACTGCAGGTTCTGGAAATGGAATCTGCTGTTTTGAATTACTTGAAGTTCGAAATGACAGCTCCAACAGCTAAATGTTTCTTAAGGTAATAATAAGGACATCCCTTATTGAATATGCATTTTTTTCTTTTAAACAGTCCATGGTATTCCTTTATTCACTTCCAAATTAACATGAAAACCAGACGATTTGTTCGTGCTGCTGCTCAGGAGATTAATGAGGTATTTTACATAGACTGGAGCTTTCATATTGTGGGTCTAATCTGTATCTTTCTTCTGTGATCTGAAAATGCAATTTTCTCATCTCCTTTGGTTCTGTTCTGTCTGTATTTTACGTAGGTTCCACCAATGCAGTTGGAGTGCTTGGCCAACTACATCACTGAATTGTCTCTCCTTGAGTACAGTATGCTTTGCTATGCTCCATCGCTTATTGCAGCTTCTGCAATTTTCTTGGCCAAATTTATACTTCTTCCTTCAAGGAGACCATGGGTATGTGTGTAAATAACAATAATGTATATCGGCATATAGGCAACTGCAGTATATAAATCCTATTTCTTTGTGTTTATCTTGTCATGATCTCCTTTTTTCTTCTTCTTCAGAATTCGACATTACTTCATTACACGCTTTACACCCCCTCTGACTTGATAGACTGTGTCAAAGATCTTCATGGCCTTTGCTGTAACAGCCTTAATTCTACTTTACCTGCGATCAGAGAGAAATACAGTCAGCATAAGGTAAACAAAATTGCTAACATTGTTCCATCTCTCCTCACTCTTTCTGCGTCTCACATGCATGCTTCCTATATAATTATGACTATCATTTCAACGTAGAAAGTTCTTAATCTTTATTAAAGAATTGGAAGGGGTAGTTTGCTATGAATTATTATTTCTGCTGTCCTAAATGGCAAGTAATAACAATATTAGAGGATTGTTAAGATTGTTGTTATGAGCATAGCAGCAAACAAGAGTCTATGCTATCAAGCAAATATACTAATTTGAGAAAATTGTTTTTGCCTCAGTACAAATGTGTTGCAAAGAAATATTGCCCTCCTTCGATACCTCTGGAGTTCTTCCACAACGAAATCCACTAGCACCGGTGGCGGTTGTTGCTCCGATGCTCTTGTTGGACTAACTTGAAGAGTTGTCTGTGTCAATGGCTGCTTTTCCCGAGCTGAGGAAATTCACACTGTGTTACTTCTTTTGAAAGCAGAGTTGTGTGTACACTTACTTGCTGATGGGAATTGGAAAAGTCCATGTTTATGGAATCATGATCTTGAATGATATC